GATGGACAAATCATAGAGAACTCATGGTATAACTCATCAGAAACAGCAAAACAATCTAAGAGGTAGAGTATTTGATTAGTAGTAGTTAATGGCAAGTAAATCAATATTAAAGAGCAGCAAACCATAGTGCCAACTTGCAACTTTCTCTCAATTGTGCAATCTTTCGCCGTCTCTGTCGATCCTCAACTTTATTGATTGCTTTCCCTTTATTTTGAAAACATTTGCTTTGAGTAAATGTGTCAAGTGTTTTACTAATTGTGAAATCATTATGTCATTGGAAACTACAGCCTCCTAAATAATATCCTAAATAATAATTAAATAATAATAATATTTAATTATAATATCCTAAATAATAATATAAAAAAAAATATCCTAAAAAAAATAAAAATATCCAATAAATAAAAATAAATAAATAATATCCTAAATAATAATATAATTAGTAAGTTAATATCCTAAAGGATATTAACTTACTCAAGATTTTTTTTTCGTCTTCTAATAACCTGACATCTTGAAGTGATGACAGCTGGACAACATCACTATGATGTACACTTATGATAATAATTATTCTGTAATAGAGATTCTCTTTTCCTTCTAGACAGCCTGGCAGCTCTATGGTAAAGATCAGAACGTCTAACAATAAGGCGTTGATGAAAGGATGACTTCAAAGTAGAAGATTGTAATTGTAATGGAATGTGCATTGATGAGAGACTGCTGTTTAAGTTCTCAACGAGTGGACATGTTTTTGACTCCAGCTTCCATAAGTACAAGAGCTTATTGGGAATCTGCAGACAGCACATGACATTACTGGCAGTAGATTGTTTATTAGCTTGTGCTGCCAATATCTTTACTTGACAAGACATCAGTGATACCTCAGTGCACACAGCTGCAGTGTATTACGGTATGGCGGTGCATATAGAGTATATAATTACACTTGTAATACTAAAATGTACCGGTGATACTTCGTGTACCATATACTTTCTTTTTATAAATTAACAGAAAAACATCTTATTATAGGAAACTTGAAACACTTAAATAATTTTTGTTATAATAAATTAATAGGTCGAAGTTGTTCTCAATGTGTTAGGACAGTCCCACTCCACCCATTACTAACAATGGCGCCTATATACTTGGAGCTCCTGAAGTGGAAATGTGCCGAAGAAAGTTTCTATTTTCTTGCCTTTCTTTCCCCTATAGAAGAAATGGTATAATGAGGCATGTAAAGTGGACTTAAAGTTGGACATAAAATAATCATAAAGCACTGTACTAGCCTCTTGCAATGTAATAGATTAGGTCTTGGACCATGAAGAATACGGATAATTTACGGTTAATTTTTGTTCTGTGTCAAGCTATTTCTGGACATGACTTTGCAGAAAATTGTGATTATAATGATACCTTTAAAACAAAAGTAAAATCACAAAGAAATACTGGTGTTTGCCATACAATAAAAGAAGAGAATATTCAAATCAAGCAGAGACAAAATCAATAAATTACATCACATGAAAAATTCTCTATAGACCTGGAATTTCAAAACAGTACAATAAAGGGTGGTTCACAATATTACTCTTGTCCAGACACTAAAATCAAACCAGGATTGATTTCAGCGAAATGTATGCGTGAAAAGGTCAAATTGCCCACACTTTTGATTAAACATTGATGACACGTTGGCCTAGCGTCATATTAGTGTGAATTAGGCTTAAAATGTACATAAATGTATGTAAAATTCACAACTATTCATTATAATTTACATTGCACATTCAATAAATCAATAAACTTATTATTATGTCCTATAAAAGCTATAAGCAACCAATGAAGGAATTTAATGTGTCACAAAAAGAATTTTTAATTCTTAATAATCTCAATCATTATAGTGCATTGTTCATTTTATCATGAACATAGAAGGTGAGCTATTAAAGTAAAAAATTTACATAAAAATATTCATGTAAATTTCTGCAACAATTATCATTCTCTGGCAAAGTAGGGTTGAAATTTTCGAATATTTTTCTACTAAATATTGTTTTTATTAATGAACATTTATTATTATGAATTGTACTAATAGTTATGATTATGTAATAGAAATTATTTTGATGTACTTGCTGTATAAATCGTTTGGCAAATGGGCTCAGTGAGTGCACCCACATGTAGTATGCACACTCTGTACTCATGCATTTCATTATAGGGACTTGTCTCACATTAGCTACAACTAAACTGATAGATGATCACTTTATAATCATTACTTATTAATCTCCTGGTTAGGCTTGGTAAGTGACTTGTAGTTATTTATGAACTTCAAATCAAGCAATCTGATTCCTCAATTACTATGCAACGTATATATTTTTGTTTTTTCTAAGCGAGGATTTTTTGTCATGTTGTTTTATCAGTTACTAAGTAAAATTATCTTTTTTGCTGCTGATATTTTTGTCTTTATCATAACAAGGAGAACAATTACTATAATCATAAATATTATTACAAATGAATGAAAATATTTTTAAAATTGTAATTAGTCTAGTGAGAGCACCATGATACAGTAATAAATAAAAGGGAGAAAAAATAAACCAAAAAATGTGAGAAAGGAGATCTGGTTTAGCCTTGAGCACTACAGGGACACATGACACGTTCTTGAAGATTATTCAATGAAATAATATACAGAAAAAAAATTATTATCTATACAGTAGAAAGGGAAGAAACTGAAATTGGGAGCAACAAAAGTTAATGATTCAGGAGAGAGAAAAAGGTCAACAAAAGGAAAGCTACTTTAAGTGTCAGGCTTGAAGTAATGAGCGGAGAAACTACCCATGTATTTCACCATAATAATTTGACTGATTTCTTTTGAACTACCATTTAATAAACAAGAGAGAATCAAATAAAAATGAGTGGTAGTAAAAAGCATTGAGCTTATTAACTGGCAAGTTAATAAATAAATTAATTGTTATTTACACTTAATACAGTTGAGGTGCATTGGAATGAGATATCTTCCACTCGGTTGATTTACGGCAATTAAATATGAATGTTGCTTATCTGCAAAAATGTTAAGCTTGGATTGGAATGTGCGGCTACAAATGTGCCATGGGAACTGTTCATCTAGCCGTGCCAGGGACTTCCAAATCAATTGTAAAACTTGTGATTCGTTGTCATCAAAATCTCCAAGTAAATTGAGGCATAGATATGATCGAAGGATGCCAATTCCAAATAGACAACCTCCATTCTACGTTTTAAAGATTCCAAAGAATCTGGAGATAACGAATATTCACTCATCAATACCTCAGCACTGCTTTTACACCAGTTAAGACGAGACCAGAGATGAGACTAGAGCGTTCACTTCAATTTAAATTTATTATAATGGGCGCCCCTTCCCAAAAAAAGAATCAGTCCATTATGGTATCACTTACTTGCTGGCTTTAGCACGTTGTGTTTCTTTTTGTTAGTTATCCTACTCAATCCATATCTCTTACTTGATCTTTGTGAAGTTAAAATAGGGTTGCTCTAGCTCTTCCTTAGTAATATCATAGGCGTAGGAATGATTCAAAAGTTAGGGGGCTCAACATTAAAAAGCCTGACTTAGCATGTAAACATGGGGGGCTAAGCCCTTTTTGCTGAAAAGTTAGGGGGGCTTCAGCCCCCCCAGCCCCACCATTTCTATGCCTACGTATATTGAGTTCTGCCAGCACTGACTTATTGCGACACAGAGCTGAGATGGTGAATTATCCTTCTAGAAAGTAAGCTGTATGACAATAGCTACAATTGTGCTACTTATTGAGTCATCTCATTCCAAAAACTATCAAAATTTGTCTACTATGATAATTTTGTAATCCATTCCTTCTCTTATTAATAGGGATTTTTGTCCCAGTATGTCAAGTGGTAGCTGATATGTAATAAGGTGGTGAAACCAATCTTCAAAAATTTGACACTAATACCTTTCTTTACTTGTATTAGGTATAAAGCCTTTAAAATGTGGAAACTTTGAAAAAAACTTGGAAATAAAAACTTTGGTATGTTTTATTTTTAATTTAAATTTACTTTTTTATTAAATAATGTTGATCTACTTGGCAACTGAAGCTTCAAACGGTTTTCTGCCTTTAAGCAGCTTCTTGTATGTCAAAATTCTTCATATGATGACATTTTTAAAAATCTCACAACTGAAATGCCTCAAGTTAGTTTATTTTAGGTATAAAAACCTTTAACTCATGTGTGTTATGTGATGTTCATTGTTAACATGTATTTTTAATTTTGTAGTTGTGGAGAAGAGAATGATTTAGTTAATGACTGGAAGAGCATTGCTTCAAACAATCTAAAATATAGCAATGTACCTGACAATGTCGTATGTTATTAAAAGATTTTGACACCTCCATGATCTTGTTATGATTGTGTCACTGACATGTACCATATTTCCTTGAATAAGTGCCCTACTTAAATAAATGCCTATCCCTAATATAGTACCACTATATATATGCTTATTTGAGCCAGTATAATGCACTCTTCTGTTTAAAGTCGCCCAAATAGCCTAATTGTTCAACATCAGTCTTCATAACATAGTCGCGTGATTGAGCTGGGTTTTTGCACTGTTTTTTGTGATTTTTGCCTCTGTTTAGCAATAAACGCCTAGGACTTCATTAACCTTTTAACACAGAAATTAATTTTGGAATAAAAATATTTTCTGGTGGTACTAGTTTAGCAATGCATATCTCTCAAGATCTTGTACTGCGAGACTTGAAACTTGCTAGCAGCCTTTATGGGACATTTATCCTTAGATAGAAGAAATATAATAGTAAATGAAGCGGCATAAAGCAATGCAGCGTGTATTGTAAAGATGCTCACTGCTTTTCTCAACTACACGGACTTGGCGAAGGGAAAGAGAGAGTTGTATCATGTTAAGCAGGACCTAGTAGGCAGGATATGAGAGAATGAAGAGGTAGAAGTCAGTGGAGAAGATGCTACGAGCAGAAACACTACTGTGACTGGTCGAGGAGCCATGGTTGCTAAACCATTGCTAAGCAAAATGTGGCCACACCTACCGCTTTTTTCCATTAAAATGTTAGGCAAAGCAGCTCTCTCGAGTCGCTCGCCTTTTCTACTCACTTCTAGAGGATTTCACAAGCCAAAGGTAAGTCTAAACATTCTGTCTTTTGTTGTGGTGTCATTTTTTAGGTGACTTACCTTGGCCGCTGATTGTTTTGAACAGTTTGGGTCGCGCTACTGGACTTTTCTACCTATATACTGTGTTTTAGTCTTTGACAATGTTATATATGTTAGAGAGATGAAAGGAGAACCTTTTAAAGTTATCTAGAATGTTATATTTCCATGAATAAAAAAGAAAATAACAATTATACTACACCCACTCATGTTATTGACGTACAAGTACGTCTATCGGTATTAAAGGGTTAAAGGAAATACAGTATATCTATGTATATCAAGTTGTCATTTTAAGTTTTGTTTTGAAAAGTTGCTTCATAAAATCTGTTAATGATGTAGGGTTGCTGCTAAATATTGAAATTGTCAAAAACATTTAATACCTAAACATTTTGTTTGTAGCCCAATGGAATTGAAGGACTTCATGTAAATTTGCGAAGCATGATGATCATTAATGTGATAATGCTTCAGCAAAATATTTCACGTATTCTTTAATGGAGACAGCTGGGAGTGTACTTGATCATGGAGAACACATTTCCATATGTAAGTTTTACTTCTTTTTTAGTTTTCCTTTGATTTGTGTATTTGTTTCATTTATTGTAGCTTTACTCTCAAGCTGACATGTGATATAGGTGGTTTGGAATTGATGGAGAAAATTCAGCAGTCCTTTACACAGCCATCATTCAACTGAGAAGAGTCCTGAGCTAGAAAAGGATGAAATCCCTTCCAATCATGTGGATCACATTTCTGAGTCAATGCAGACATGGGGTATGTAATAGCAATACATAATATTACTAATAATATGGATTACATGCTTTGAAGTACCGTGTAGAAGGAAATTTTGTAGTGAAATAAATTTGGCGTCTTCATGCCCATTTGCCAAATTTAAAATCCGCCATTTTGAGCAAATATGCTCATGGTCAGTGGCACTTAGCCACTAATTCGCCAAAATTGAAATTTGCCATTCACCAAAATTTGCAATTTGCCAAATTTATCACCCTCCGAAATTTCATTCCATTTATCAGTGACAACAGGCAATTGTAAAGTTGTAGCACTAAAATTTAACACCCTCCGAAATTTCATTCCATTTATCAGTGACAACAGGCAATTGTAAAGTTGTAGCACTATTACACCATTTTTAAACTAATAGTAATAGTAATTGCTTGTTACAGAACGTAATACTGTCTATAAGTGTGACTTGTTTAAGGTACATTGGTTAAAGGGACATGTTCATGGAAGCAAACACATGTATCTTGAAAAAGCGGCGTTTTTTCAAGATAGCATCATTAATGATGATGTTTAAGTATTGGTAATTGTGGCTGCGCCCCCAAAAAAAAGAAAAATAGCTACTGGTAATGTTCCTGGTGTTTCTTTACCAAAGAGAGAGTCTGCAAGTGGTAAAAGAGCTAATACTGGTCAAAAAAAGTGTTTTAAAGATGCCTACTTCTGGTTCTATGCCTGATTGGTCTGTCTACTCCCTGTACAGTGACATGTGCATCTACTGTGAACGTGTCCCTTTATGCTACCTGCAGCATTCCACCTCAACGTAATGCAAAGATAACTTGCTCTAAGTGTCTGTGCGATAAACTGGTTTTGCGGTTATTTAACGGTTATTTATAAGAAAAACCACTTACTGCAAATCCTTAAATAGAAGCCCCATTTGACTTAACGCCAGGGTAGCAATACAATTTAACTATAAATATGCAACATTACTCCAGGAGTAACTCAGTAGTCTAGTGGATAATGTCTGAACCTTCAGAAGTCAAAAGCATGAGGCTACGGGTTTGAATCGTGCTCTGGGCCAAAGTCTTTTATTTTTTATATATTTTTTGAGATCCAAATGCCATTTTAAGAAATAGACGCCCGGGCTTTTATTTAAGGAAATACGGTACATGTTATATTTTTATAAAACAGTTATTGTTTAATCCCGCCTGTCACAGCACGTTTACTTTGTAATGGCAGCAATGCAGGCAATCTCTTCGTAAGTACAATTAATTAATTTACAATATAAACATTCTCAGAGTGTGCTGCTTTGGTCACAAATTTGATCTTGTGATTAAGAAATGACTAGACATTCAACCGGTACAGAGAGCATTTACATCGTGTCATTGTTTGCTTGATCTATTTCACCATAGTTATGCGAGACGTATATGTATCTACTTGTTGGGGGTCTACATTTTGCATAATTTCTTGTATACTAGAGCAGCAGTGAGCACTATCTGCTGTCACTACAGATGAAAGGAAGTACCATGTGTTAGCATAAAATGCCTAATGATTTTGCATTTGCAACTTGAGAATTTGTTTATGATGTACATAAGGCATTATCAATTTTAACTGATGCTCTTGCTACAGAAAAACGAGTTACAGCATCAGCAGTTATTCCAGTACTGAATTATGTTAAAAGCATACTGGAGCCAGCAGAAGGTAGATATTTTAAAATACTATTAGTCTTGCTTCATTTGTTGACCCAATATTTAAGCACTGGCATTTAGTAAGAAAGAAAGAAAAAGTTGATGTTATGAGAAAGGAATGTATGGATTTTACTCACAATGTTGCAGTACCAATAACCAACACATTGTTCACTTATACCATATAGCTTGAAATTTTTGTGGAATGCAAATTTTGTGGGTTTCGTAGCCCACAGAATTTAAACCCACAAAATCATTGAAGTGCCATCCCCTGACTGGCTACATAAACTGTCAACCACAAAAATTAAACCACGAATGGCCCCACTTGGAGCAAACGACAAAAATATTTACCTAATAGAATTTAACTATATAGTAATTATAATTTTTAAGCATCATGATAATTATTGCATTTTAGAAATAATCCAAGAAGGTAAAAAAAATCCGATGATTCAAAGAGATATACGTTTTCATCTAGAATTGATTGAACACTATTTTTCATTCGGATTATTTTCATAGCATAGCACTTGGCACACCTTTGATGTCTATGGCTTGCTGGCCAAGAAATGATATGATTTAAAATACCGGTTGTGGAGTGACAGTAGAATACTTTAATTATGGCAATCATTAATATATGCAGATGAGATAAGGAAAGAAGGGGAAAAAATGTCTTTTATTCAGGCAAATTTTGGTCCAATCCAATGATTCAGCTTTGTTGTACTCTTTCTGAAGGCAACTTTGAGTCCTTATATGCAACTGATGTGGTTACAGAAATATTTCATCAGCCAATGACCGCAAAAGAAGCATTTCCAACAATCATTGAGAACTTCTCAAGACATTGATGTTGACCCATTTGATGCTGATAAAAAGTTCATTGTCCTAAAGCACGTTCTCTAGCTTGTATGGTGGCATTTTGCATCACACTATGTAAATGAAGAAATTAATGGTAAACAAATGTTGTGTGTAATGCACTGTATAAAATTATAGTATTGCTTGCTTGTGAACCACGATAAATTAATATATGAGATTAATCATCTTTTTAACCTCTCTGCGTCATTCATATCCATTTGGTATACCTGAAGCAAGCACTGTTAACAATACTATTTGCAATGATTGTAATACTGCTGGCTGGTTATCAAACTTTTACCTAGCATTGTGTGCAAAAGGATGGGAGTTACTGTTTTTCTGCATAGTCAATACCTCCATTTACTTTGTCAATAGTAGTATTATCATGAAAGACGTTACCATACTGTATGATTATACTGATTATGGTACACCATTTGAAACACTTTAAAAAAGATACTTGTGATTGGCCCACTGGATGCTGATATAAAGTTAATTGTGGCTAAGTGTGTTCACAGAAGTAATCTTTCTTTTGGTAAGAAAAGGCTTTGTCTACAACTGCCTCTGAACCACTTAATTTGCTATCTCGTAAGCATGGTTTAAGACAATTGTCAATATCATGCACTGAGTCAGTTGTAGTCATTTTCAGGGCATTAATTTCTTTAAGATTCTGCTTCTCCCAAGTAAAACAGTACTTAATTGCATTTTTCTGTACATGTATGTCTGTATGGGCAAAATCAGTTACATAATCTATCAGGTGGTAATGCCTCCAAGTCGTTAATAATAATAACTTCACACTTCATTGCAATTTCTTAGAGTCAAATTTATATGTTTCTTTTTGTAAAGAGTTTTCTTGTGTTAAAGATTTGCCAGAGCATATCGATACAGCATATCCAATTTGTCTTAATATTCTGACAAATCCTCATCTGGTGAGTTGCTGTGGACAATTTCTGTGGGACGTACAAAAGCTAGTAATGGATCTTGTCCTTTGTGTAAAGAAGGGGAATATGAAGCAATACCTAAATAGAAGTGCTTGTGTATTCTCAATGAATTGGAGGTCCTCTAGCATAGGAGGCACCTTGTGCTAAATGATGCGAGCTTTTGTTTTGCATTGTCATTATATCTCCATTTACTTTGTCAATAGTTGTAATATTGTGAAACCATTATACTGACTATAGTACAACTTTGCTAATTTGATACTTGATCAAAACAGTCACACTGAATGGGGAGGCCTTTAGTGTACTGTCTTTAATCACTAATTAAAACATTGTTCACTATGTATTTCAGCATCATGATAATTATTGCATTTTAGAAATTGTTGAAGTAGTAAAAATGTCATGATTCAATGAACTATTAGAGCCCTGCATGTTCATTTAGAATTGATTGGAGGCTATTTCTTATTTTCAGTATTTTCTCAGCACTTGGCTTTCATTCTAATGTCCTAAGCTTATGTAATGCCTCTCCATGACCTATAGTGACAACAATTTTATTGTAAACTAATTCTTCACTTTTGTTACATTGTAGATTTGGTGACTTAGTAGTTTTCAATTAATAGGAGAAAGAAAATGAATTTTCATCTTTTCAGTCCGATTATGTAAGTTCACGATAACAATTGTTCCATTTAGTTTTCGATATATTGTTTTGTAATTTCTGAAACCCTGCATTATTGCTCACAATAATGTGTTAGGCATAAAGGGAGGAATTGATAATCATTGAAAATTATGTGATTACTAAGAAATGCAATTACATTGTGAATTTATCCAGTGTAAGCAAGCATAGTAAATTTTTTCATGTATTGTTTATCATTGTGGCAGCATAGCAAAGCATGCACAATGCTGTTCTCTTATTTATCTGTTTCCTGTATGCCCTTTTTTGCTCCTTGTGGCTAAAAAATATTAAGA